GTCAGATGAGAGCAACTCTGCCCCAAGTGGTCGCATTTCGCCTTGACCCACCTGTAACTGATTATCCATTGTAAGAATCAGCAAAAGGTGCATTCCCAATTTCGATTTTTTCCTTTATACCAAATTTTTCTAACCTGATTTGCGAAATGAAGTAAAGTCATACCAGTGTTCGTGACATCTTCTTCCATCGCCGTTTCTCCTTTCGGGTCGCGGAGGCAGACGCATCAGACAGTGCTTCCAACGTTCCCGATCCAGTGCCAGAGTCTGAGCTTCGACGAAAGATAACTGGAGTCTGGAACAGACTCCTTTTATATATTTACACCAGGTTAATCTTGTCTGTCCCCTGGGCCTTCTGCCGGTCAGATTTGCAAGAAACAATAGCTTAGCCTTCCTTTCTGAAGGCATTCCCAACACATGCCCAAACTATCGCATCTGTGACTTCTCAGTCTGGAGAAGCAAATGTTGTATTCCAAGGCTCTTCCGGATGTCAGTGTTTTGGACCATTTCGAGACCCGTAAAGCCAAAGAAAGCCCATTTCAGCAGCTTGTACCCGGGTTCAAAGCTTTTCAGCGATAGTCCACGACTCATGATCGTAGGTAAGCATGGGGATAAAGATCTACTTGAACACCGAGAGCTTAGTTTTCAGACTGAGCTCTGCTTTAATCACAGTGGGTCAGGATATTCACGCAGAACCCCACTGGGTATTTCATTTCGCCGGTCAATCTCCTCAAATTTTCCGTCACTAGAAAATACGACTTCGAAGTACTTGAACTTCTCAACCTGCTCCACTGCCTTTCCGTTAATCTTAAGAGACCAACGGGCAGGAGAACGACAAAGCACTAGGCATTTTGTTTTAGATGCGTTGACACACACACGAACCTTTCTAGGGAGTACTGTAGATCAGTTTCAGAAGTTTCCAATAAAACAAGGTCGTCTGCAAACAACAACCTCCTCCTCTTCACATCTCCTACACTGATACACTCATCGCCTTTTCTGCTCCTGACTATTCTACCCATGTAAAACACAAACAGCAGAGGGGACAGAACGCAGGCTTGGCGGGAAACAGTTCCAACGTTGAAAGGATTCGACTTGACGCCATTTACTCTGACGCGGCACCTGCTATCAGAATGCACTGATTGGATGGCCATTTATCCGGCATGCTTGCAGGCATAACCACAAACTGTTGTGTGAGATCTGGGCATAGGCTTTTTTGGGTCAACAAATCACATGTACACCGGACGGGCGTACTCCCACGATTTCTCAGCAATCTGGCGCATGGCAAATATATCGTCGGAGGTATTCGACCAGGCCTGTAGTCACGCTGCTCTTCTTGTACTTTGGAATCAGTTATTCTGTGGCACCTTTTTTGTATAAGCATTGCGTAGACTTTAACTGGGAAGCTCAATGACGTAATGCCCTATAATTGGTGCACTCCTTGTGGTCTCCCTTCTTCATTAAGAGTACAACTACTGCCATTCTCAGGTCCGCTAGTGTCTCCCCGTAGTCTCCGCACTTTGACAGATACGTGTAAGCCAGCATATGCCTTACTCGCCTAATGCCTTCAGCATTTTAGGGCGGATTTCATCAACTCCAGCAACGTTTCCATTTTTCAAGGTTTTCATAGCTTGTGTTATTTCATCTGCACACATAGTAATATCCCTTCCCTGCTGTTCTACAGGCGAGTTTTCCTGCGGTTACTTGGGTTAAGGAGTTCCTCCAAGTACTCTCTCATCATTGTTGGTAAGAAGGTATCCGGACCTGTCCTTCAAGACTCTGAGACTGCCCTTCTTTTCACCTCGGAGTCGGCGGATGGTCTGCCAGAATACTTTGTTTGCCGTGTGGAAATTCGACTCCAACACGTCAACTTCCAGGAATCAGTTTTGGCTTTTGCCACTGCTTTGGCTGCCGCCTTGCGTGCCTGACATATCGCACGCGAGTAGATGGCTCTTTGTTTCCAAGCCATTTCTTGAACGCTGCTTTCTTCTCTTTAACTGCCAGTTATGCCTCTCGTATCCACCATGAAGATCTTTTCTGACCTCCCGACGGCAGGTCAACCAGTTTATATCCGTAACATTCGGCGATAGCCTCGAGTATGCCGCTCTTAAAGGGCCGCCACTCGGTTTCAACATCAGTTGTCATCACTGGGATCTGTTCAAACCGTCGTGTGATGTTGTTTGCAAATTTCGCTCTCGTATCCACCGAAGATAATGTTTCCCATTTGATTCTCTGGCTGCTTCTGCCATTAGATCTTCCTATGGTACTCAGTTTCTTACTGCGTAGCCTCTCTTAACGCGAGCGTCCATTATCGAGCGTCTTAGGTCAGACGATGCGATTATCAAATCGATCATCGACTTCTGTGCACAAGCTTCCCGGTGCCAAGTATAGTGCTGCACTCTTCGATGCTCGAAGAAGGTGTTCATAATGGACAATTCGTTGATTGCACAAAACCACAACAACATCATGCCGTTATTGTTGAGGTCGCTAGGGTCGTTTTTTCCAATCACGCGGTTCCACTTTTCAGGGTCTACTCCGACTTGCGCATTAAATTCGCCCATGAGTTTGCGGGACTCTGTATTCGGTATTTCGGACAGAGCAACTGAACTTCCTCACGGAAGGTCTCATATTCTCCCTCCAAATTAGGCGCATGGACCTCTCCCAAGGTCAACGCTTTAGCCTGTTGTGGCTTCAGTCGGAGAATTACCACCGACGGCTTCCAATCAGTGATTCTGTCTGCGAGGTTGAGTTATACCGGAGTACCC